TATTGGTTTTACTCAGCCGGGTTTTGAGATTTGTGTGTGTGTGTGTGTGTGTGTGTGTGATTGATTGATATCCCCTGGGAAGGTGCCACTCTTTTAAAAACAACTTTCAGGGTGGCAAACACGGCAGATCTTGTGACAATTAATTCCTTAGATCAGCTCCATGTTAAATGAAAGCATTTGTTTCTCTTTGTTTGCCAAGAACTTCCCTGCCAATCATTTTCACCAGAGGACCCTGAGCTATACAGTATGAGAACATATGTTGGAGGTGGTCGTGGGCTATTTCACTTTTTAAACTGCTGTCAGTTTAATAAATCTCAGCATATACCCCCCCCCAAATTCCTTTCCAAATGACCCCCTTCAGTTTCTTGAGTGGAGTTTCATTAAGTGGAAGGCTTTCTTTCATTAACACCTCCTTTTAGATATTTTCTTCAGCTCTTCATCTTATCCAGAATTGCTTTGTGTTTGAAAGATGGGAATGTTGAAGAATTACATTATGATACTTGCTGCTTTAATTGCAAACCCTTCCCAGTTTTAAGAATCCTCTTTGAAAAAAATGACCACAGCTCAGTAGGATAGTTGCCCTGACCTATTTGCTTCTCGAAATATTTTACTCATAGGTGGTTATTGTCAATTTGGATAGAAGATAGGATTTCCCCCTTATAAGTTATGTATCTAGCTAGCACTTTTATGATGGATCTCCCCTTGTTACGTGTTGCCAAGTTACCCAATTTAGAAAGTTTCTTTTGGCACCCTTTATAGTCTGTTTAAATTTCATAATCTGTAGCAATTCAATGGCATTCTGCACATTTGATCACTATTGTAGCTAACTCTTGATACTGGAATCATTTATGAATAAATTACAAAGTTAAAGATGCCAACAGATCCTTAAAGAACCCAACTAATATGATTTTATTCATTTTCAATACACTTCTTGAGGCAGTGAGGCTTTTTGTTGGTCTACAGCTTAAAAAAATAAAGTGCTTATTCAAAACCTATATAAAACCTCATATTTTCTGATTCATAGGCCCATTTTGATTTTAAAAAACTGTGATTAGCTATAGATCAGACATGTCAAACAGAAGGCCTGGGGACCAGATGTGGCCTGCAAAGTGGTTTCATGTGGCCTGCAAAGCCATCCTGGAAACAGTGAGGGAACAGCCAGGAGCCAATGTACAATTTTGTGGTGGCCATCTATGCTGAAACGCATTCAGTCTTAGCTCCACAAGGCTGTCTGGAAACAGCGAGAAAACAGCCCCTGCCACGTTGGTCCCACCCCCTGGGTGCATGCTGGGGAGGTGTCACCCTTTGTGAGGAATGAAGAAATGGACCATGCCTTGGCGCTTGCCCCGGTTCCACCCCCTTCTGCCAGAGACTCTCAGATCTGTCCCACTCCTGCCCAGGCCCCCACAGGCACCCTTGATGCGAACAATGTAGAGCTGGCCATGCCCAGCCAGTAGGCCACACCTACTCCATCCACGCCCACCCAGTAGGCCTTACCCACCCTGGCCACCCCCCAAGGACAACCACAATGCTGATGCGGCCCTCAATGAAATTGAGTTTGATACTCCTGCTATAGATACTTAATATTGAGCACCCTGTGTCTGTGTCCCTAGAATATCTCATCTATTCTAGAATTAAATCCTGGGACTGAAATGAGAAAGTTTGGCTTAAATTCAACTTTCTTTGTCAAGCTAAATTAAAATATACATTTTCCCAGTATGTCACAGAATATGTGGAATTTCCAATTCCTTTATGCTGACCTCCTTGTAATTCTCAGAAGGAAGGAAGGAAGGAAGGAAGGAAGGAAGGGAGGGAGGGAGGGAGGGAGGGAGGAAGGAAGGAAGGAAGGAAGGAAGGAAGGAAGGAAGGAAGGAAGGAAGGATCTCCTTCTATATTAAATGGAACTTATTTACACTGAATGCCCATGGTCTTTTCAGACATTTTAAAAGGTTTTTTAAATGCCACCTAGATGACTTTATACCATTTTGGGGGAGATGTCCAAAATGTATCCCATAAGCAAGATATATTTCAATATTTGATCCATCCCATCGATTACAGTGGCAGAATTATGTCATGAAATTTGCTGGTCCATTTGCTTCGCAGATGGAAATAATTTTGAATGAATCAAATTTCAAACAAATGCTTGTGCTCCTTTAGTTGGCAGCTGAATGATGGAAAATCAAAGAGACCAGAAAAGGAGCTTGTCAAAAGTGTTGTCACACACACACACACACACACACACACACACATATATATATATATATATATATATATATATATATATATATGGGCCTAAGTCTCCCTCTAGTGGCTGCTGGTAAGATTTTAGTATCCAGTAACCACTTCCAGAATGGTTCCATTCAAATATAATTAAAGAGCTTTATCTGGTAAAACTCCAAAGCTGTGGCAACCTGAAAGCTAATAAATGTTATGAATTTTATTTGGGACAAAACAACCTTCTAATCCTTCTACTATGTTTAAGGTGTACACAACTGCTACTTTTAATATCTGCTGTCCACCTCATCCATCCATTTTAGTCAAGTTGTTCCCGAAATTATTTCCTCTCCCAAATATGCAGTATGAAAAGGATGATTCACACATTTCCTAAACATTCTCATACATGAAATCCACATAAATCTGCCAAGATAATGAATGCATATGAACCCAACATTTCAACCACAGCCATTTTCCTTCAGTGGAGATTATAAGTATATGGAAAGCCTGTGTTATGGAGTCTTGCACTTTTGAGTGGAGTCTTGCACTTTTCTTATCACAGTAGAGGAGACAGCTCTTTTTCTCAAATCAAATTTATTTTTATATTATCTAAACTGTTGGACATGTGCTTTAATTATGGGTGGCTTTTATTATGGTAATTTCACAAATAGCTCATATGTGGAACAGACTTTATTGCCTTCTAAATAAAGAGCTTCCCCCAGTATACCATATCCAGAACCAAATTAACCTAGCTGTGGACACATCTCTTTTACAGCCTTCAATTCTACAAAAACAGGTTCAAGGTTTACCTTCCCTTCTGCAGGTCTTAAATTGCAGAGAATAATTCTGTGATGGCTGAAACTTTATGGGGGAAGGAGGACAGATGGGAGTGGTAAACTGCCCACAAGCTAGCATTAAACAGATCGCCCTTGGTTCTTAAATACAGCTGATACAGTGGGGTGGGGCAGGTTATGAGCCCCTTCCAAATCGGCAACAAGTATCCTGATAGAAATCCTCTTACTTCAGAATTGGCAACTTGACAGCATTCTTCACTGCACTCAGGGGCCATAGGCTAGTTGGGGTGGTGCCGAATAGCACACAATAGCTTTCTAAAACTGCCCTGCAATGCCCTGACCATTCCACCAGGGGGATACGTAAAGCCCACTCAAGCAAATGTTGGCCCAGTCAGGGGTAGGCAATCTCGGCTCTTTTATGACTCATGGACTTCAACTCCCAGAATTCCTGAGTCAGCTAGCTGACTCAGGAATTCTGGGAGTTGAAGTCCATGAGTCATAAAAGAGCCGAGGTTGCCTACCCCCGGCCCAGGTACTTGAGCAAGAGAACACAGCCACTAAAAGCTACTTACTTCTATACTTACTTGCATTGCTAAGGCTTTCCCCTGTGGTGTTCTCTATACCAAGAGATAGTGACTAAGCTGCTCATGACCCAACTTAGCAACTTGTAATGCAGATCACTTTTAAAAAATGGGAATAACTAAGAGGTCTGAACTACGCCTTTATATTCTAAAGCTGTGGTAGTCCAAGCCATTAATATCAGGAAGGAGAAGGGGCCTATTTCTACTAGGTTTTAAAATGTTATTTGGAGGACTGAGCTAGACATTACAGGGGAATCATTTTTGTTATTCGCACCTACAGCTGGATTCTGCATTTTATTGTTGCAATTATTATTTATTAAATTTGTTTGCCGCCATCTTGCCACAAGGTGAATCTTTCTGAATTTTATGTCAAAATGTCTATCAGGGAAAGGAATAAAACTCTCTGCTGTTATATCTTCCTTTCTGTCCTATTGCTTCAGGCACAGATCGGATTGTATCTGATCCTGGAACTCAGTTTGAGGGTGGGAGATTGATAGACGAATCCAGCCCTGATCCTGTTCAAACTTCTGAACAAACTTCTGAAAAGTCAAACTGGATTTATTTAGACCTTCAGACCAGATTAGAAATCTACCCAATCCAAGTAGGCCTTTTTAATCAAGTTTGAAAATTGAATTGATTTGATTTGGATACTGAGATTAATTAAAAAAAAAATGTGCTTGAGTAAAAACCTGTATATATTTCCAAATTGGATCTGAATATTCTGCATTGATTGAAAGTATCTTTTTCCTTGCTTCAAACTGCTTTGGCGATATGACTCGGAAATCCAAAGCACATTTCTAGCTGATACAGATCACTTTTGAATTGAGTCTCCAAATCAAATATTTACATTGTCTTACCTTTATTTCAGTGGAAGCTGAAGACTGGGAGGGTTCTTCTCAAATTCCTTATCTTAATTAAATCTCCACTTCCTGCTTGGGCAGAGACTGGCAACAACCAGTGAAGTGGAGAAAGACTGACTCCAAGATGCCTGCACTATATTCATCCACCATCCCTTTGCCCTTTTCCCAGTGTAGAAAGACAGGCACTCCACATTTGACTAGTCAAATCTTTTGGCTTACCCTCCCTTCTGCAGTGAAAGGCCACTCTTGTTTATTGTAAGACAAGATACCTTCTTGTGTAGAATTAAAGGCACATTCACTACCATGAGCACACAGAGATTTTAAGTTTTATAGGCAGTTGAAATCTAGCTTTCCATCCAGAGTCCCACTGTCAAGGAAGAGAAAGTGAGGACACCAGAAGATTTGTTTCTTGGTGACTGAGTAGCAGAAGCAGGAAGGAGCTTCAGCTTCCTTTTAATGGAAACTGTTTTTTCTTCTGAATGCCTGTTATTCCTTGAAAATGTAAAGAATGACACTTGTCATTAAGTTGGTGAGAACATACCTCTCTGATATTAGGGGAATGGCCTTTATTTGAAAGACATGTCAGGGACATCAAAAATCCTACCCCAAGGATTTTTTTCCCCCAATATAGATGCCCTTACCCTATTCCTGTTGAAATTATGCACGTTTTTAAGTAAACAATGCATGGTTTTGTGACTTAGCACTTGCAGCAAATTATGAAGACCCTGGCTAACCATTATTCTCATCCAGTCAAAAATAACTATATATAGGACAGGCACTGAATGTTGCACATTTTGATGATCCCAAAGAAAGGCAGTGAGAGTAGTATAGGAACATAGGGAGAGAGGTAAAAAATTAGGGCTATTTCTGTTTCTGCGAATTTGCTTAACCTGCTTCATTTTGATAAGGATCTCATATTGCACCAAGCTTCAGTTTGCTTAGCTGTGATTTACTCAATAAGCCAAGTTGCTTATTGAGCCACAACTAAGGCAACAACACTGTGGATTAACCTTGGCATGCCATATGAACCAAGCTTATAACTGCACCCAGTGTGATAAAGCTTCTGGATTCTCATCATTCCTTCTTAAGACATTTCCTGGATGATCACAATTGCTGCCTCATGAAAAAAAAAACCCTGCAAAAGAAAAATAAGTTTTAATGCTGCTAATTTGATGCTGATGATCTGCCAAATCCAAACAACTTTGTAAGCAAATAATGTACACTGGTGACCTGGGTCTTTGGTCAGTTTTCAGACAGAATTATGACAAAATAGCAAGAGAAATGCTAAGCTCAGTAGGAGCAAAATGCTAGAGGCAATCTCTTGGGAAAGGGAAAAAAAACCACACGAGCATCCCTGGATCAGGGCAGAAGCCCTTTTCTTACCCATATTTATAACTGTACAGAATGGCTTGAAAACCTCAGTCCTTCCCAATAGCTCATTTTATCTTGTTCCCATCTCATATTTTAAGTAGATTTGTTCCTGTTCTTCTCATTCTGAAAAATGTGCATGTGTTCCTGTTTAAGCCACTAAAGAACCAGGCAGAATTAATGTAATTAATTCTATTGCATATCCCTCACCCCTAGTGAGGTGTATTCATGTTTGTTGCATCTGCCTATTGGAACAATATCTGTTAGTCCTCCCCTCCCCTCCCCCTCACCAATTTGCACCGCTTTCCACCCTACCTGCCTTTAAACAGACTTTACAAATTCAATTCTTCCATCAGGTTTTTAGTTAGTATGCAGACATACACCTTTAAACTGAGGGATGAGGCAAGTATTTTTAGGGACTGGTTCTCTCTCTGGATGGCTGCTGTTCTTTTTCATATGATGTTGCTCTTACCAGTTCTTCTTTGTGAAACCATCCAAAATAATTCTAGACTTGGGTAGCCTAGAAATTTGACAACTGACAGAATAAATAACAAAGATATCCAGCTTTACTCACTTGTTGCTAGATTCCTGAGGGGTGTTATCTGTACCTAAGGAAGGAAAGTGGGAAATATTGACTATTCATCAGCTTAGTCAGCATGGTCAAAATATTCATACGTACAGAAACCCATCCATGGGAACAAATAAAAATGTCTTGATTCCCAAGGACAAAAGCTGGGATAACATGTTAGTATGCTTAAAAAATTACCCAGAAGGAACCTGCTAAAAAAAATAGTCCACATGGGGTTATTTGGTGCACAAGGCAGAACTAAAGTGTTGTAATCCAGGGCAGGAGATGGTATACAATAGGACAGCTCAAAGCAGAGGGAGCCACAACTTGGACTGCTGTTCTGACCCCAGAACAAGAAGGCTGCCTCCACTAAAATAGGAGAGAGTTGGCCCCCATGGGTGCCAAGAATCTTCTGCTGCTTATTGGCAGTAAAGGAGCCATCCCCTGCAGCTTCAAACCCACTCTTCTCTGCTTTTCTTGCCAAAGGCGATAGTCAAAGCAGGGGGAAGGGGAGGGGTGTTACCTTGAAGAGCAAGGGTTGAAAATTGCTGCCCCCTGGAAATGTCCTTTATGCTAAACGGACGCCGCACAAATAGAATAAATAAGTTCTGACTTGTCTGCGTTACCTCAGAAAACTTGGGGATTTAACTCTGCTTCGTACACTTTGGCCTAAACGTGATGAGCGTCACTTTCAGGTGCGTCCTCTCTAAAAGACCAAAAGGAGCTCGAGAGACCGACGCAAAACGCGGCAGTCCCGCGCAAGGAGGTCGACGGCAGGAGCCCGGGGCGCGGACGTGTCAGCCGTGACGTCATGAGACCCTTCGCGCGACTTTCGCAGTTAAGAGGCAACGAAGGACCGAGGCGCGCGGGGAAAGCTGCAAATCCCTCTGCCGTGGCGACCCGGAATTAGGAAGCGGACGAGGAGAACGACTCTTCCCCGAAACGAGGGGGACGCCAGCCGGGCTGGTTGCTGCTTTTCGTAGCGGTGGAGGCCGGCTCGCCGCTTCTTCCTTCGGGCGGCATGAAACTCCTCTAGCAAGCGCCTGGAAGGGCGGTGGAATCGAGGCGGGATGGGCGGAGATGGGCGGAGAGAGTCCCTGAGGGAGCCGAGGGGGCGGGGCTGTGGCGCACGGGCTTCCTTTCTTCCTTTCTGGCTGTCAAAAGAAAACCTACCGTTGTGCGCGGGCGCTCCCTTGGGCTCTTTTCCTCCCGTAGCAATCTCGCTCCAGTTTTTCTCTTGCCGGCGACCTGCGCTCCACTTTTGAGGAAGACTGAATGGAAGTGGACCCTTGTCCTTTGGTAAGGAGGTACGTCTAAAAGGTGATGGCGCCCCTAAAAAAGTGGGTGAAGTATGGGGGGGGGGTAATTTTCATAAGCTAGCCCTGTTCATCTTTTGCGGCAAGCAAAATAATTTATTGGTTACTTTAAAGTCTTAAGGTGCTTCTTATTCCACAAACTAGGATCCGCAAAGGGATATGCAATAACAGTTACTCTTTAAGGTACTCTTTAAGTCTTGGGGATACAAGGAAGTTGAATTCTTGGGAGCTCAACGTTTGGGCTATGGCAGTTGCTTTAGAGCAAGTTGAATGGGACATACTGTGAAATAAATGTGAGGCTTAAGTCCATGGTTGGTAGAACATGTCTGTTGGCTTACAACTCTTGCTCCTAATTTCACAGAAGAACTTTGGTGTGTGTGTGTGTTTGAGAGAGACAAATTGTTTTCCCCAAAATTATGGAAGATGTTTTAGGACATGAAGAGGTAACGCCAACATAGATAGGGAGGGAGAAATAGTGTAGATAGAAGAAGCCTAGCAAAGTAGATAATCCAGCCCAGATTGATCACAGATTGGACATTCATTTCCTTCAAACTGACAGATTAATTTAATTAGGTTTTCCATATCTGGCTGATCTGAAAGGTATTAATATTGACATATATCCAAGTATCAATATATAGGGCTCTGTACAAAATTAAAATAGTTTGCCCCACCTCCCATTTCTTTTGTCCTCTGGGAAAAAAAAGCTGAGAAATGGTGCTTTCCAACAAAGCTGGGAAATATTTACAGCTGAACTCTGGAGAAGTTGATACTTAAACTTCTCAGTTTATATAAGTTTATATAAGTGTAAATGTGGAAATCAAATTACTAGAATGTTGTCAGAAGAAATGCCTTACTACTGAGAAATTACTAGTGGATTTCTTCCACTGCTGCTTTTTCCTGAGACACACAGAGGTTTTGTTGCTGTGAAATAAAAGTCATGGTGTACTGTGGAAAAAAACATCCTTTGTTTAATAGTCTGTCTATGATGTAAACCCAGCAAAGCTCACCAGCTGGAGACAAATGGGAGTTCATTTGTTTTTGAAGAAGTGAAATGTTCTCAGAGAGTGTTACTGCTAAAGGCAGGCATACATTTTGCATTATTTCCATACCAGAGAGAAGGAAGAAAGTTACAATGTATATCACATAAAGTAAAACATCTCCATAGCTCTTTTAACTGGACAGTCTTTGACACGTTGACTGCCCGAGTTTGGTGTGACTTATCTTCTTGCAGGCATGTGAAGTGACCTGTGTTTTGCAGTGTGACGGGGTGGGATGGGGCAGAGTTGGGAGACCAACGGATTGAAGAGAGTTTGGACGAGCAGTGCTGGGAACAGCTAAGGAAGCCTTTAGAACATGTAGCGTCAGATGCAAAACACAACTAAAACAATAAAGTTATGAGTACATTTAGGAACAGAATAATGTTTTAAATGGTGAAGATCCCTTTCAGTCAAACTCAGCTGGATAACTCCTTGAATATGTCCACATAATTTTCTTGACCAACAGCATGGAAATTATTTCACATTGTCCCTTCACAGTTTAGGACAGAATGCAGTTTCTCTATAAAAGGAGATTTGTACTTACTGAGCTTGCTAATGATCTGGTTTGATGTTTGTTGGCTACACTGTCTGAGAAACAAAAGCTGTTAAATGGTTCAGCTTAGCTGGTTTCCCTGGACTATGCTTCAAGGATTTGTAGATGCCCATCCAAGTTTGATTTCCATGATGAAGTTTGTGTTCAGCATTCCATTCTCTTTGAAAAGCGCTGTTTGTCTCTAGCCTTTTCTCTCTGAAGTTCTGTCCACTGTTTGTGGTTCTGAAATAGCAGGCAGAGATAATGAAGCAAAGCAGTTGAAACCTATAGATCCCCTCCTCCCCTTAAAGAGTGGGGAGAAGCACATGCTTCTGCCTCACTGTGTTTTGAGGGCTGACTGGTTCAAGTGTATCTCTCGGACAGTCATCTGTTTCTCTTTGAGTACTTCAATCATCATTACTGAAGGTTTCATACAACCTGTTGTTTTGCTCAACTCAGAAAATGCCTTCTTGAATAAGGTCTTTATTTCCATGCTCCAGGAGGTTATAGATGTGGGTATAGCACCAGAATGGGTTTTAATTCTTTCAGCCAAATGCTCAGGATCAGGTTCCAAGCTAATGTAAACAAGTATTTAATATAGGTGAAAGCATAGCTTGCGTAAACAGTGTTTTTTCTACAGAAATCCTTTCACCTAGATGGAATTGGTTCAGGTCTATGAATATTAGAATGATTGTTGCATCCATTCCTATTCCTCTAGATTTCTTCTGCTTCAGGTGCTTGACAACTGTGAAAGAGATACGTGTTTCAGGGGCCAAATCAACTTTCCCATTGCAAAAGGAAAGTGCCCCCCCTTAAGGATTCACTAAGATGTTGGTGGGAGCACTGGTATCCTTCTATTCACAATTACTTTATTTTTTTTAAAAAAAAATACTTTTTGGTCAAGACAATATTTATTTATATCCCTCCTTTATTACTTTTGTAAATAACTCAAGGCAGCAAACATATCTAATATTCTTTCCTCTTCTTATTTTCCCTACACTATCAGGCCTGTGAAGTGTTGGGGTGAGAGAGAGTGACTATAAATTAAAATTGCTTCTTCCTTTCACGTTTTTTGGTAGAAACAAATTAGGGATTGTTATAAAGAGTGATACAAGAGATGGAGTTTATTATTTAATCAATAGAACACTGAATAAATGTATCCATTTGGCTTTTATTGATTCTATTCTTCTTGCCTCAGCCAGCTAGCATCCCATATTCTCTTAGGCATCCTTGGTCTTCCCTGAGCTTTGCTGCATCTTCTCCCTTCAGGACCTTTTCTTGTCTATTGCTCAATCCTTGGAATTCACCCAAACTTGCTGATGTTTCTCTCTTGAGTATAGATTGTGCCATTTTGACTATACAGCCACTTTAGGAAAATTAGTTTACTGGTACACAGCATAATACCACAAAGACATGTACCTACAGAGCACTCACACTGATATTACTGGAAGAGCTCACTCCATTGTTTCTCCTGGCAATTATTTGAACACTTTTCCATTGTTTCAGCTGGTTATTCTCTCTACAAGAAAAAAGAAAAGAGATAGGATTTCTGAAGAAGGGGGAATTCCAGCAAGTACAGATTACTATGGAGGGAGAACAAAATGTATGCCTTTGATTATCTCCTTCTGTTTGGAATCTGGTTGTCTTTGCTGTATATTGTAAAAATACAGCTTTTCTGAAACATTTTGGTATTGTTTGGAAAATGCAGGGGTCTCATTTTAGATTTTTTTTTTTTTACTTTTTCAAGGTGTTTACTGCAGATGGAAACAAAAATAAACCGTAACCTGAGCTGGTTCAAGAAACAGAACTTTTTCTAAGGAGGATTAATGCTTGTTCATCACATGGATTTGAGCCCTGACCTTATTGAACAGGAATAAATAAAGGTCCTTGCTATAGTAGTTGAATAGGATGGGGTAAAATTATAAAAAGATTTGCAAAAATATTCCATGACAGCTAAATATAACTGAAGCTCATAATGCTATTCAGTACACTTCTACTTAGGATCCATTCCCACAGCAACTGTATTTCACTCCAAATCTCATCACTTGTAGCAGTGAAATGCAGTATGGTTTCTAGTCAGCCTATAAAGGTGGCTTAGAGGCACGTTGAGAAGACTCATTCCAGTATATCCAGACTTCCAGAGAGTGGAAACTCTCAATTGTACAACCTGCTAAAGACTGTTGTCAAGATGCAAGCCCTACTTTTCTTGTAGGTAGGCCACATTAGAAAAAACAGTGAAGTTAATAGAAATCCCATCTAAACTTATAATGAAGGTTTAAGTCCAAGATAAACTTTGATCTGTCTAAGGTGGCCTGATGGCGAGCAAAGCCCATTAGGTATCTTAACCATTATATAAGAATTGTATAATTGTGTAGAAGATGAAATTTGAGCCATTTGAATGTAATGTATTGTCAGATCCAAATAATATGGCATAAAATACGGCTTGCATAGAAACAACCAATTATAGTTTATTCAATAAACTATGTCTAAAAGTGGCTTGTGATTCTTGTCATTCTTGGTATTTAATTTCCTTACCTCTGCCTCTAATTTGCCAGTTGCAATCTATGGGATTTAAATTAAGTGCATAAAACTGTCTTACAGTTTGACATTGTGATTTAAGTTATAGGGCCATTAGTTGTTATTCATTAGGCACTTTTGGATTTCAGTCACTTTTCTGGGCTTGAGCTACATGTTTCCTCAAGTCAAAGCCTCTAACAACTGTTTATCAATTAGACTGTTGACCAAGAGTACTTGTCTCAATATACATATGTTCATGGCATTTGTGTGTCACATTTTTGCTGCTTTCAGTTTGTGAATGATTAACTTCATGCACAGGAAGCAAAATGCAAGTGTATTCATCACCTAAGGTTTTTTTTA